ATGTGCAATGTATACCAACAACAGGTACGTGTGCAGCCCGTAGCACTGGAGATAGGAGCCAAGACAACCGTGTAGAGACATGGTTACGATGGTCGAGGCAGCAACCCCAACGTATATGGCTGTGAATACAGCAGCGAGCCGAGAAGCCTGCGTATCCGTCAAAGGTGCGAAATGAGAGTGGGCCTCCCGTTATTACTTGGGCCAGATTCCTACAGAACTAGAATCTGGCAGCGTTGCAGACCACGACTTAGAACAAGTTAGCGGGCCGGTGCAGTAACTAGACATGCAAGGGAGCCAACTACAGTTCACGCGTTATGCAAGTAAATCTTCTGCATTCTCCTTCTTCGTCGATAGCACGGTCGACATCGTAGTAAAACCCCTGCTATAACACGACCAGATACATCCTTCCTAGGATGAGCAACGCAACGGCCAACAGGTACCTTTCCCACGCCGCGACCGGCCTCACGCTACTTCCTTCGATTGGATGAACGAAAAAAAAACGGGGCGAGTCCTCCGTCTGAATGCACAAAGATCCATTGTGCCCTCGTACAAGGCTGCGCGGCACTGGCCACCCCACTTAGTAAGCTCCTTCTCTGTGTGTGTGCGTTTGTGTGTGTGTGTGTGTGAGCAAGGCCGCGACGACTCCTTCGCTAGACCGTGGAAGGATACGYTGTCTCCCCCCCCCCCGGCAGTTTATTAGAATGAGCAAAGACTGTTATGAATCTAAATGCTAAAACACGGCTAAACGCATTCGTCGCTTTGTCCCTTCTCCCCCAGCGCAGCCTATGGATCGCATAGCCCCGATTCCATACCCTTACTGCAGAGCCCCATTGCGYCACTAAACTCGCAATCTTCCAAAACCGCTATTCAGCTTTTTGTTTTTTTTTTGCTCGCCTAAGTCCATGAAAATTCTGGTAGAAACTTCACTTCTTCAACGCCTGCCATGTCCGCCTACACCACCTCTTCGCGCAAACTGTTCTTCGTCTACTTCTCTTTTCACTAACTCTCTTCTACATCTGATCTCAAGTACGGACTCGCCCAACATAGAACCCTCAATCTAACTCCCTTTCCGGCTCGATTTCGCTGAAGTATCGAGCGAAAATCTCAACTTCTGCTTTCTGCCATAGCCCACTTCCGAGACCTTTCACGCAGCACACCTTCTCTCTACCTCCCCACACACTCCTTCACTCCCAAAACTAACAACACTATTGAATTCGCCTTGCCTGAGAGCCCAGGTTAGCCTCTTTACTCGCCCGATTTTATCAAGATCCGGGCGAGATACATGACCTTTCTCTTTCATTCACTTTCCTCTATCTCCCACGCATGTTTTTCCTTACTAACTTCGTAATGTACTACTATCTTCTTAATCTAATTGCATATTCGGGGTCGCCCACCCCGAAAACCTCTGCTGAGTGCTTTTCCCCGTCCGAAATTGTCAAGGATCGGGCGTGATAGATGACTCTACCCCCTACCAGAGCCATTCCCCCACACTCCGCATGTACCTGGCGCAAAAGCTCATCCGAGTTCATTCATCTTTTCTCAGCGCCCTTCTGCCCACAACGCTCCGCTGCCCGTCACTACCCCTGCGCTCGGCAGCGCACAGCGCCTCACAGCGTTAGCTCTCTTCGCTCTCCCTCTTCACCCGCTCCGGTCTACAGCCCCGGTACTTCCCTGTGCGCTATCTCACCGCCCGCTGTTCCCTAGCACTGCCGCCGCTGCTCGAGCTCGTCCAACTGGGATTAGTGCCCCGCACACATCCCACACCGGATCCCGCCCAGATCCGGCCGCCTATCTTTTACCACCCCGTCGGCTTCGGCCCTTCTCTAATTTAGGATTATCATCCTTGCGCAGGAGCTGTGCTAAGCTTCCCTGTATCGTTCCAATTTTATCGTATGTCCCGAAGGACTCCTACCGCAACACCTCGYGGCCCTCCGAAATGGCCCAGGGCAAGTCAGAATTATGTTTTTTTTTTTTTTTTTACTCATCAGGTCCCAACATATGAGCTCAAACCCAGGTCTGTATTTCAGCACTTCATGGGTGTACCCACTGAGCTGGGCTCTTGGGGCCTGCCACACCTTCGGCACCGCGGCGCAGCCTTCAAGCAGTCCCTTTTTGAGTTCAACACACCCCTACGCGCTGCGTCTCTAGACAAAACGGTGTCGTGCTTCACCGCGGCCACAAAAAACAGTGTGTAATTGCACTTCAGGCAGCCCCGCGAATGCGACACCCCTTGCTGCGGCGAAGTGGCGGATTCTCGCCAGCAACCGGAACTCGCGAACCCGCCAGATGGGGTACTCACTCAAGGCCCCCAACTGTCGTGGCGATCATTAAGCCCGGCGTCGCGTCCACATCAATGGCCCGTCGGAGTATATAAAAAGATACGTCACTTAGAAAAATATTTAGAAAACGTCACCACTAATGAGACGCCGCTGCTAACAAAACCGAGGGGGATAGCCCTTACGGCCCTCAACCCCATCGGCGTCCTCCTCGATGCTCCGCTGCCACTGTGTCGACGCTCGCCGACCTCGATCCCAAAACCTGTGTAGTGTCATCCCAGTGTCGTAACCTATAGGGCTAAGCCCAAGCCTGAGATCAAAACACGCCGAATGCCACATAAGACGGTGTGGCGCGGCGCTCTGGGCCAACAAAGTGGTTGCGCGGCTCTCAGTGCCCGCGCCCGCTTGCTTATATCATGCCATAATTCCCCCCGGCGCGCCATCCTACGACATCCCGCTCACCACACGAAATCGCGCTGTTATTGCCGATACCGTCGTTGGGGTCGTTTTCCCCGCACGCACGCTCGCCTCAATCAAGCGTACCAATCAACCGAAAATATCCCTGGTCCCTGCTTAATCAAATATAAATAGGTATTAATAATACCAT